GTAATTTATTAATAAATCTCTGCTTCAAGAATGAATCAATCATGAATGTTGACAGGAGAAAAGTGTGTTATTTCATGGGTTTGTTTTCAAAGCAATCATTTTGGTTTGTTTTTAATCCAGTATAAAGATAATCAAATACTGGCATGCAATGCCTGATTTTACTCCTAACAAATAGACAATGCCTGTGGAGCATCAACAGTAATGCTTTTTTTTTTTTTTTTTTGAGACAGAGTCTCACTCTGTTGCCCAGGTTGGAGTACAGTGACACAATCTCATCGTAATATCTACCTCTCAGGTTCAAGCAATTCTCCCACCTCAGCCACCAGAGTAGCTGGGATTACAGGTAAACATCACCGCGTCTGGCTAATTTTTTAGTAGAGACAGAGTTTCCCCATGTTGGCCAGGCTGGTCTCGAACTCCTGGCCCCAAGTGATCCATTCACCTTAGCCTCCCAAAGTACTGGGATTACCAGCGTAAGCCACCATGCTTGGCCAGTAGTAATGCTTTTCCTCTTAGTCTTAAAACAACTAGGAAGGTTAACTTGATACTATAAAACATAAACTATATTTCAAAATAAAATTATTTCTACATTTTTTTTCTTTTTCTTTTTTTTTTTTTTTGAGATGGAGTCTCACTCTGTCTGGAGTGCAGGCTGGAGAGCAGTGGAGTAATCTTGGCTCACTGCAACCTCCGCCTCCCAGGTTCAAGCAATTCTCCTGCCTCAGCCTCCCAATAGCTGGGACTACAGGTGTCCACCACCAGGCCCAAATAATTCTTTGCATTATTAGTAGAGATGGGGTTTCACCATATTGGCCACCCGCCTTGGCCTCCCAAAGTGCTGGGATTACAGGCGTGAGCCGACGCACCTGGCCCTGCATTTTCTTTCTATTGAATTATCTACCTATAGCAGTGTTCACCAGCCCACCTTCCATTAAGTTTATAATGAGAAGTAAACCCAACTTCCATTAACTAGAAAACCATGATTTGCCCATGACATTACAAAAAAGGACATACAGAAGATCACTATGGAATTTTTTTTTTTTTTTTTAAACAGTATCTCACTTTGTCATCCAGGCTGGCGTACAGCTGCATGATCATGGCTCACTGCAGCCTTAAACTCCAGGGCTCAAGCAATGCTCCCACCTCAGCCTCCTGAGTAACTGGAACTACAGATGTGTACTACCATGCCTGGCTAATCTTTAAATTTTTCTACAGACGGGATCTCACTTTGTTGCCTAGGTTGGTCTCCAAGTACAGGCCTCATGGAATCATCCCACCTCCGCCTCCCAAAGTACTGGGATTACAGGGGAGCCACAGTGCCAAGATCACTACAGATTTGTTTTAAAAATAACTGTATGATACAAAAGAAAGCATTACAAAATAAATACATGGAAACTTTTTTATGAAATATTTTGGTTTTGAAAAAATGACAAAAATTACTTCACCAAATAAATACAGTGCTCCAATGCAAAATATTTTACTAGCATCTGGCATATTATGTTCTATAACTTAATAATGTACATATCTGCCCCACCAAACACACTGTAGAAGTCTATAAACACCAAAGCAATAGTCAAGAAATTTGTAAACCAATTTGTGTCATTACTTTCTACAGAAAGTAATGATATACTCTGTAAAAAGTATGGTCTCTATGCATATCTATAAATAGTAATAACATTATTTGCTTACCACAGCTACCTATACAGACCAATACAGATGTATTTCATTGATAACTAAAATATAATTAGTATTGCCATCAATTGTGTGATTGTATCCATGCCGTTTGCTCTGTAACTTGGTAGCCCACCCCACTCTGATTCTGGGCTTGGAGCACGACTATTTTTTGGCAATAGGATGTTCAACTATAATGCAAGTATGTAAGACAAAATTAAAATATGTATGCAGATGATCGTACACAGATGTTTCCCATATATAAATGTCTAGAGGAACATTCACAGCATATGGCATGCAGGTTAATTCTGTTCAAAACATTATAAGTCACTCATCATTCATGGCGCTTGCCTGCTTAAGCCAGCAACATCCTCCAATAGTGACAACAACCCAACATGCCCCCATGCATACTAAAACTCCCTGGTGGGGGTCAATGATCCAAGGCTGCTGCCAAAGCCAATACACTTTCTGATCTTTTAGTTTTGGAAATACCCTTCTTCAGGCATGAACCCATTCATGCACAAGATGTATAGTAGTGCCTTTTTAATAATCCAAAACTTATGTGACTGAATATGGTCCTTTCCAAACTACTGAAAGGTGACAAGAGAAACATGGCAACTTATTTTGAAATGTGAACTTAAGTTCTGGTACTATTCCCTACACATGTGATACTTATGATTTAAAGGTTTTAAAAAGATAAGCTGATAATAAAACACTTGTACTTGAAATCCACAAAAATTTGGTTATAAAGCTATAGCAACTATCTCACACTTCATATCTTCATCCTCTACACACTTCTCAAAATTTTAAAAACAAAGATACTGTTAATACTATAAAGAACCAAATATACCTGTCCAATTATTTTGGTTCTAAGATGTCCTTTGGTACACTATGAGAAGGTATGTTTGTCTTTCTTAACAAGCATTTGCAAGGTTAGTATATTTTCTAGCAATCTATTGCAAGTTTCCCTTTTCCTTTTTGTACTGTTTGATCCATCTTCAGTGACTTTCACTACCAGCTTAGGTCCTAGTTACCCTCAAAAACCAGCAAATGTGTTACCTCTTCTGTGGGGTCTTCTCAATCCTCACCTTCCCACTAAAAGACTAAGTCCCTTCTCCATACTACTTCTGATATTTCTTATTCTTATCATTATTTATCTAACACGATGCTGCAATTATGTTACTTATCTGTCACTCCAACTGTGAGCCCTCTGTCCATTAAGCCAGTGTTACACATCTATAACCACATCCATAATGCCCAGCACAGTAACAGTGATTGTCATGGTAAATGCTCTGAGTGGTCTATCAAGCTGCATACCTCTTTGTAGGACTTAAGATTTATGAATGCATTTCACATATTTTGCTTCTACTTTCTGATACAGTGAGTTCCCCAGAAATCAACTATTTATTTTACATATTCTAAATTTACCTTAATGCTACAGCCTTAAAAAAATACTCCCTCAAAAATTCAGCCAAACATGACAATAAAGATGAATCTTGAGGACATTACACTAAGTGAAATATGCCAATCACAGAATGACAAATATTGTTTAATTCCATTTATATGAGGTATCTAAAATAGTCAAACCCATAGAAGCAGAGAGTAGAATCAGGGGCACCAGGGGCACCAGGGGCAGAGGATAAAATGAGGAGCTGTAATTCAAATGATATAAAATTTCAGTTATACAAGATGATTAATTTCTAGAGATCTGCTATACAACACCGTCTCTACAGTTAAGCATTCAATATTGCACAGCTAAAAATTTGTTAAGAGGGTAGATCAATGTTCCTACCACAATTAAAAATATATACTCCTTCAATCTTGGTATTTTTTGGCCCAGTCTCCACCTAACCTTATCTCACGTTATTATATTTTGACTTCTTCAATGGTCTGCTGTTATCATAGTTTTGTTACTCTGGTTTTACCTATTGTCATATTTTAAATCTAAAAATAGAATAATATTCTTTATTTCCGATTCCAATCTAATTTCCAAAATTTTGCACACTAAGCCAATATTCTAAGAAAGTAACTTCGAGTGTGCAGTGTTAAGTTAATCCTACTTGTAAACTTTATACAAATAGTTCAAATTGTATTTTAATCAATATATATATTGTTCTATGCTTACTGTCATTAAAAACCTCCTACCCTTTCATCCAGCTTTACACGTTCTTATAATGTATTCACGTTAGTCTGGAATCTGAATACTCAAAATAATTTGTCATTTGCAAAATTTGGAGACTTCAAGATATGCTCTCTTCTTTAAATCATGTATTTAAAAATATTTCATAGCTGTGAATTTATATTTCCTCACTATTTTAGAACCAAAAGCACATGGACATCGCAAGCAGGCAAACGATTTTAAGATATGACTTTCTAAGTATTAGGAAGAAAGGCAAAATGTAAAACGCTTGCACATATTTTCTAAGGGTCAAAGAGAAGATTAAAACTTATAAAATCATCATATTTCACTTATTTTATGTTTATTATGGATATCAAAGATGCAACTGGAAGAGTACCACTAAAGTACTACTTATTCCTTTCTAGAAAATAAGACTTTTCTGTGAAATAATAATAGCTATTATTAATCAACTTGGGTTGACTGGCTCATCCTTACCCCAGGATTATAAAAAATGCCCACTTTTTTGTTAATTTTATTAATTTAAAAAATATTATTAAAAGTTTTAAAACTTTTACTAATAGCAAAACATATACCTAAAAGCAAACAAACAAACAGAATGGAATTACTGGAAGCCCATTAAAGGCAAGCAGAAAAAAAGCTTCCAACCAAATCTTTATGCCACCTGGCTCCCCATGACACTTGGCTGCCACTGAGAACTACTAACCTCTTCCCTACTGAATACCTGCTAAACATTACACATCACATATACATCCAAATACACATCACATATACACATCTCCTTTATTTATAAAAAATAAAGGAGAGGACTTCAAGTGAAAGCCGATCATACATCAACAACCTAACAAGTTTAATATAAAATCACAAAATAAATTATCTTCCTCTTTTGACTTTTAAAGCGAAGACTAACAGTAATTGTAATAACGACGTACTCTGAAATGCCTTTTATATTCAAGACTGATGAATTGGAAATACATACATTTCACCTCAGATTTAAAGTAAAGTGTTTATGAAGTAGAGATTAATTCCAAATATATTTTTAAATGAGTGCATTCTAAAATATCTAAATATAGAATACAAAAATAACTTTTTTAAGACCATGAAATTCAACATTTTAAACAACTCATTAATCTTATTAAAATGACTACCAACAAAAAAATTGAAAATTGCAAAGAAAAAAAAACACACTTACTTCATTTCCATGTTTTTGTAAGAACTCAATTTCCTGTTGTGTGAATGTTGTCATGGAGATAGATTTCACCCTGTGTGGTGGATTTAATCCTCGCCTAAAAGATAAAATATTTTACAAACTTTACTAGTACATACATTTTTTTAAATGACACATATAGTAATTCAAAACATTTTAACCAGCACACAAACCTCAGTGTTCTCGTTCCGTAAACTCCAAGTATTTTTAAATTATTTTAAACTATTAAGCTTCATAATAGATGTTAGAGTAAGTTCGGTTAGACTCATTAAATAGTAGACTTAACAATAAATTCAATTAACTACCTAGATAAAAACACAAAGTAACTGTGACACTTGAGCTTCTAGGACATGCAAAGAGTGCTTCAGTGTGTTTCTGATTATAGGAAAAGACTATACATGTGAAGGGCTCCATAGTAAAGAATTTTAATTCTTTAAATATTTCATATTTCCTAAGAAACCAACAATGATATATTAAGACTGGAGCTATACAAATATCCTTATCAAACAGTTGTTACCTTTAAGTAAGTTTAAGACTAATTTAGAAAACTATATGAAAAGTAATGTAACAAAATGAGATAACCAACTGGTAAAGTCCTATCGTGCCATCAATTCAAGTAAGAATTTATAATAAAGAACATTTTTAGTTACCTCAGAGGGCAGTGAGCGTACAAGAGGAAATCGCAGGGACATGGGAAAGACATTTTTAAAAACTGCTGAATGCATGACTAAATGATTTTTAAGGTCCTTTACAACCCTGAGTCCTTTTCTGTATGGATGGCCTTAAAAAGAGTTAATCTTGATGTTTGAACACACACGAAAAACTGAGTGGAAATGCACTCAAAGAGAGTTAATAACTATTTATATGTCATCCAACTACCTTGTGAGCAGGTCCACCCGCAAGAATAATGGCCAAATAATCTATGCAAAGTAACAAGTAACCTATGCAAAGTTCCATAAAACTACTTCGGGATCATGTCCCCTGACAAAGGTCTCATTTGAAATCTGGGTCTTACAGCGATTACTGTAGCAATATTTTTTAAAAATTTGTCAATCAATTTGTAATTACTCTTGCTAACTAATTAAGAGATTTAACAATGATGTAAAATAGTAAATGTACCAAAAGTCTTTAAAAAATATTCTGAGAACATTTTGAATAATTAAATATGGCGCATAACATTCTAGAAATATATGCTATTTTGGTGGCAGACACTGTGGCTCATGTCTGTAAACCCAGCACTGTGAGAGACCATGGTGAGCAGATCACTCAAAGGCCAGCCTGGCCAACATGGCAAAACCCCATCTCTACTAAAAATACAAAAATAAGCTAGGCGTGGTGGCATGCACCTGTAATCTCAGGTACCCAGGAGGCTGAGGCACAAAAATTGCTTGAACCCAGGAGGCAGAGGTTGCAGCAAGCCAAGATCGCGCCACTGACCTCCAGCCCGGACGACAGAGCAAGAAACTGACTCAAAGAAAAAAAAATTGTCAAAAAATTTTGTCAAAACACTCAGTAGAAGCTCCTCAATTCACTGCTTCTTTTTCTCCCTCTCCCCTGTCATAGATAAATGTCATCTTTCAGATCATGATTTGAATTAAGACAAGTTATACTTCATTTGTTTCATATTTCAAAGCAGGGAAAAATTAACTTGGGTTTGGCTGTTGTTTTGCTTTGCTTTGTTTAAATTTTATACTGATTTTTTTCCTTCTGTTGTCATAATGTAAGGGAAATAAAGACTGAACAAGAAGAAGTAAGTTAATGAAATTTTATTCTGGTAAAACTCTCAAACTTGGCCAGGCGCGGTGGCTCTTGTCTATAATCCCAACACTTTGGGAGGCCATGATGGGCGGATCACTTGAGGTCAGGAGTTCGAACAAATTAAAGCTCTACTGATTAGTTCCAAATTTCCAACAGTGGCCAGGTGCGGTGGCTCATGCCTGTAATCCCAGTACTTTGGAAGGCCAAGGTGGAAGGAAAACTTGAGGTCAGAAGTTTGAGACTAGCCTGGCCAAGGTGGTGAAACCCTGTCTCTACTAAAAACTACAAAAATTATCTGGGCATGGTGGCACACGCCTGTAGTCCCAGCTACTTGGGAAGCTGAGATAGGAGAATCGCTTGAACCCAGGAGGCAGAGGTTGCAGTGAGCAGAGATTGGACCACTGCACTCCAGCCTGCACAATAGAGTGAGACTCCATATCAAATAAATAAATAAATAAATTTCCCAAAGTGCAACTTAAGAAAAGTCACTATTACTTACTTAGGGCGCAACACTTTGTTTCCAACTCATCAGTATTATGAGAACAACACTTAATCCACTACTTTCAGGGAGGGTTTAATCATTTGATAAAATACTTATATTCTACCTTGTCCCAAAACAATTTAAAAAGTAATTAACATATTATTGTTCTCTCAAATGCTTTTACGACTTCCCTCTCACTTTGTAACTTTGTCTCTCCTTATTCTGTGACATCTCCTTCTTGATCCAGACAAGGCTTTACCTTTCCACTTTCTGGTAATATCTCCTTTTTTAAAAATGGAAAAAGCAAAAGAATAACTTTCTGATGAAGAAATATGAAACACTACTAAAAGGATTATGTTTTGGAAATTTTGGAGCAAACAACTATACCTGTATACTTCTCAAACTGTTCAGTGAGGAAACAGCAATTCATAAAGCTAAACTTAACTCGTTTTAGTTACATCATACATATGTAATCTCACAAATGCAGTGCAGTGTATAAATATATCCCAGGCCCTACCATATCACAGGGTCTATTAATGCACAAAGAAGGTATTCATATTACCTAAAAAAGTGAACAAAATTTTGAACTTATGAAACAAGTACAACCAGAATGTACTCATAACCAAATGAGGAAAGTACATTTTTTCCCAAGTGAAATCTGTTACAGGATTTGTTACTCATTACAGGATTTATTTAAATGAGCTCTCTCTCAGTACATTCAAAATAAGATTCAATTTACAAAATGACAGACAATTTTACAAGGCTACATTTATTACATAAATTGAGTAACCACAAGGAAATTTTATGTGTGTTCATGTTGCTTTCTCTAATTGTTCTTTTATATTCCATTTATCCAGGAAGATTAACTATATTCACAATCCAAGGCTATACAAGGATTTTTCATTTTTTAGCTTTCCAAAGCTTTGTACATGGATTTTACATGCTTATAATAGTCTGAGAAAAAGCTGAAGACTGATTCCATGAATGTCTTAAGTAGGATTCAGAGTGATGAGATGCAAAGAAAATGAGTAGTCTTGCCCCCCTGCCCCTCCCCGCCAAAAAAATGAGTAGTCTCAAACACTGACAGTGGGATAAACTCACCATTTTTTCAGAACCTCATTACTGTCATTTGACCCAGCTATGCCACTTTTGGGAATCAATTCTACACAAAGAATTCTACATATAGCTGACCACCTATGTACAAGATACTCACCAAACATTATTCATAATCGGAAAACATCAGAAACACCAAAAAGGAAGTGATTAAATAAATGACAATGTTTTAAAGTACGACATTATGCACACTTACACTTGTGCTTTAATTTTTCAAGATAAAAATTATGTAATATTCTCAAACCATTTTTTTTAAATATGAAAAAAAAATCTAAATACTCCAAAATGTTAACAGTTCTTGCATGTAAGTAACAAGATCGAATGAACATGTTTACCAACAATAACATTTAAATGAGGTGGGTGTGGTGACTCACACCTGTAATCCTAGCACTTTGGGAGGCCAAGGCAGGTAGATCACCTGTGGTCAGGAGTTTGAGACCAGCCTGGCCAATATGGTGAAACTCCATCTCTACTAAAAATACATAAATCAGCCAGGTATGGTGGCAAATGCCTGTCATCTCAGCTATTCGGGAGGCTGAGGCAGGAGAATCATGTGAACCTGGGAGGCAGAGGATGCAGGGAGCCGATATTGCGCAACTGCACTCCAGCCTGGGCCACAGAGCAAACCTCCGTCTCAAACAACAACAAAAAAATAACCACTTAAATGAGACTACTGTGTATTTTTACAGACCCAATATTAATACAAGATTAAAATGTTGATTAAATCTGGAATGTTATCAATAGTACACTTTCAACTGTGACCTTAAAAGAAAATGGAATTCTACCAGTAAAAGGGAAAATCAAAACAAAACCAAAAAACTTTGTCAATGTTTTAATAAAATTAAACATTATCTGCCATACAACTTAGCCCTAGAAATGAAAACTTATGTTCAGCCAAAAACCTGTACATAAACATTTACAGCATTTCTATTCACATATATCTCAAGAACTAGAAACTCAAATGGGCAATGGAAAAACAAACAAGCAATGGAATACTATTCAGCAATACGGAGAAAAAACTATTAAAAGAAATGACAACTAACTTGGATTAATCTTAAAATAATACGCTGAGTGAAAAAAGGCAATCTAGAAAAGTTATGAGTCCATTTACACAACGTTCTTGGAAAGACAAAACCTGTAGTGTTGGAAGAACAGATCAGTAATTGCCAGGAGATGAGGAAAAACAAAGCCTAAAAGTTTTTTAGGGTGATGGAAAACTTGCATGTTCTAATTTTAGTGGTGGCTACATGAATATACACATATGTTAAGATTTACAGAACCGTATACCAAAAAATTACAATGTATGTTAACTTAAATAAAAAACTGTAGTCCTGATTTCATGTTTCTATAGTAACCAAACTTTTCACACTAATTTTTTATCATTAGCAGACTATCTTCACCTACCAAACTTGATCATTTAAGTGAATAACATTCTTCATAAATCAAAACAAATATTTTTAAGATGTATTTCTGGAAGCTGGTGTCACTTCCCTTTCTTGCTATGGCTCGTCTAGCTGCAGGGTGAACTCGGTGTTTATAAAACACTTTTCTGTAATGATATTAGTCATAACTATTGGATCAAAGTGTTAGGTAAGTAAACCACATTACTTTTATAGGGCGAATACTGAAGTATCACCCATTCCAGATCCTAAAAAACACATTTTAAGTCTTCAGGTTTGTAGTAAACAAACAAACAAGAAAAAAACCTCACTTAATAACTGCAGTTT